TTGAAAAATTAAACTACATAAGTATTAAACATATTTATAACTCAATTACTATCATAACTAATAATTTTATATTAACACCATCGTTTTTCTCAGTATCATATCTACAAGTGTGCAAAATTTCAGAATTTTTTGTCAACTCTTTTTTCTCAGCTCGTGTGCATCGCAGGGAAAATCTACGCATACTGTTGGAAAGATATTTTCCTGTAGATGTGCAGAATGCCTTTAAAAGTTAAAATAGGCTAACAAATAAGCACAAAAAATTAATTTGAAAACTTCAAAAAATTAACATGGACCATATGGGTTGCCATGATGGTGACGAAATAACAACAAAATGTAAACAGAAAATCAAAATAAATGGAAGAAATTCCAATCACATCAGGGTTGGTACTGATTTTGGAAAATGAAATTCCCTGACTTTTCCAGGTTTTCCAGACTGATATTATACTTTTTCCAGGTATACCGTAAGACGATATCAAATAGTCAGAATCAAGAATTATTAGAAAAAATTTAAGCCTAAATAGTTTACTCATAAAACCAATAAGAAAAGAATTAGCCCAGGCAAAATACGACAAATTACCCTTAAACCTGGGCAAAATTGCTTCACAAGCGATTGAAGTGGTATTCAACACAGAAAATAATGCTTTATAACATATCCAAAATCCTCCAAAATCTGATCATAGGAAATTACTAAAAAATAAAATTTAAAATGGCGGCAAAATTTCAAATTTTTGTGATATTTGTTTTAAGACTTTTGGCGGTATGGGATAACGGAAAGCACATATACATAAATAAAACATCAGATTGGATGTTGAAATATCAAATAAATACAAGAATAGACTTTTTTTAAACGACAAGGACATATTTGTATGTACATTTTAGTTTCCATCGTTACTAAAAAAGAACTAAATTTAATAAGTTTTCTTGGACAAACTATTTATTTGAACTATTATCCTTTTGTTTCAATGTTCTTACATTCATTGATCTGGCACTACCCTCAAGAAGCAGAAAAAGACATTTCGTTATGTTTACACCCACAGTTGCGCAATGGAAAAAAAATGTAACAATAATTATTCTAGGGTTGGCGGTATATCAGATACTGTTCGGTAGTACGAGTTTTCCACCAAGAAGGACATTATTTTCAGACGTTTGAACAAATATGTGAAAAAATAACTATTATAGGAAACAGTAAACATGAATACTATAGTATGAAACAGTAAACATATCAAAACAGGCAATGCAAAAAGACTATGAGACAAAAAGTCGTACCCCCATACATTTCTTATGGACGTTTCGTAATTTGAAAATTTTTTAAGATAACTTTTCTTATATCTCCAGTTGTAAAAAAGTTATATATCCTCTGTAATAAAAGGGTTTACATTTGAGCTATTGATCATTAAAATCGGATGATTTAGAAACGAGCTACAAACCCTATTACAATATTAAATTTAACTTTTTAGATATAAGTTTTTATTAAAAGATGTATGTCTCGGGTTGTTAATATGCCACCAAGTTCATTCTGGTCTCAAATTACTCAGTGAATCTTTGGCTTTAATTTTATTAACCATTTAATAAAATCTGATGAATTTTAACTGGGTCATGAATCTTTATTTTAACAGTAATTATTTGTTATTCAAAATTTGTCTTTAGTTTTAGACATATATCCCCAATTCAAAATAACTCCCAAAAATCTTTACAGTCTTAAATAAATAGTAACATTATTGACTTTTGTTTTAGCTATGGATTACTTATTGGGAGTTATTAGAATTGGGGATAAATGCCCTAAACTAAAGACAAATTTTGTAAAAGAAATAATTTACTGTTAAATAAAGATTCATGACTCATTTTAAATTTGTCAGATTTTATTAAGTGATACATAAAATTAAAGCCAAACATCCACTGAGTAATTTGAGACGAGAAAGAACTTGGTGATATATTAGCAACCCGAGATATACATCTTTTAATAAAAACTTATTTCTAAAAATTTAAATTTAATATTGTGTTAGGGTTTGCAGCTTGTCTATAACACGCCCGATTTTAATGATCAATAGCTCAAATGAAAACACTTTTATTACTGAATATTTTAAGGTTAGAACAAACTGCAAGCGTTAGTAAAAACTGGAGATATAAGAACAATTATCTAAAAAAAAATTTCAAACTACGTAACGTCCATAAGAAATAGATGAGGGAGAATTTTTGTTTGAACATGATCTTCAAAACGAAAAAAAAATATTTAAAAACGGATTTTAGCATTGAAATCATCATGAAAATCTAATTTATAATGATGTGTCACAACACTATCATTACGTTTAAAAATTATATTTATATCCAATATGGCAGATCCAAGATGGCGGCCAAAATGCGTTCCCTATCAAAATAAAGGACTAACCACCCAATAAATATCGGTGGTAATCTCAAGTAAATATCTCAAAAATATGCATAAAAATGCATGTGATATATCGTCATTTGAGGGGGTTTCCTGTAGACCGACTTTTGGCAACTTTTAGTACGTGTCACTCTGCACACCCAACACTATACCAAGTAAAACCATACAATGTTTTCTTGCATTGTTTCAAGGCCATATCCCATATTTATCAACTATTGGTGTTTTAAAATAAATAGCTCTTAAGAAAAATAGCCGCCATTTTAAAATTTATTTTTAGACACTTTCCCATGGTCGGATTTTGGATGTGTTGTAAAGTAACATTTGTTGAGTCGAACGCCACTTCAATGGCTTATGAAGCAATTTTGCCCAGGTCAAATCATAATTTTACTAGACTAAATTAAACATCTGGAATCTGGAAAAGTAAGAGTACCAACTAACTTACCCTCACACTTTATGTTCTACATGGCCTTGACTTGACACTGGCAGATAGACGATACGGTGCTTCTGATACTGATATATATCGATATTTTGCTTACGATATCATCGGTTTATATCGAAAGAAACATGTGATATTGGAAAAATAACTACCATGCTTGTACCGGAGACAAAAAGTAGTACCAAACTAAACTATTAAATGTTTCAACTAACAGGATAGGCCTAAATATTTTTTTATAAACTCCTACAAGTGCAGTTTTTTTTAGTTTATTAAAGGTTGAATCAGTATTGGTATAAATTCAATGAGGAATTGTATTCAGTATCGTATTGAAATTGAAACGATGAATGTAGGCCTATCCTTCCGCGCATCACGGTACTAACTAGCTCGGTGCGTTCAATTAAAGCCAGTAATCAGAGGGTGATGATAGAATGTCTGTCGATGTTCGATGTTTTTTATATCGATGGTAGGTTCACGATGTTTTTGTTACATCGATGTTTTCGTCAAACTTTGATGTTTTTGACCAAGTATTGAGAGACATAGATGCAAAATGTAGCATATCTGTAAAAAATGTAGTCTTTCAAGATAAATTCCAGATTTTTTCAAAAATTCCCTGACTTTTCCCTGACTTTTCCAGACCAACAAAATTCCCTGACTTTTCCAGGTTTTCCAGGTTTTCCCTGACCGTACCAACCCTGCACATGTTTTATTTACAGTGTGGGGAGAAAATAGAGAAGTCTGTACATTAATTATTTTTGGTCGAGTTTCGACCACAGGACGATCACTAGTTATTATTATTATGTGCTCGCTGGGTTATACCAGTAGCAGTAGCTTACTTACTTAGTTGAGTTGACACCGAGCCAGTAACTTAGTTTGTACACTTTACAAATAAAACTAATAATAAGAGTTAATGACAAGCATCTTTGTGTTCAATAATTTCAATAACGAAAATTCAGATGTTTTCCTTTATTTTTGTTGGTACACAACTACACAAGCCTTGATTAGCAATGTGTTTAAAAATCTTGTGAAGCTACAGTTTCACCCTAACCTTTGAAAGAATAACCTCTACTTAATCTAAAAACTCAGTAGGTCTATTTCTTTTTCTTTTGGCTTTGGTTGGACTAGGTAAGTTACAAGGATGATCAAACAAAAATTTAATCTCAGTCTCCCAAGCTGATTTAAGTTAGAGCTAGGCCTAATGTTAGGGGATATGGTAATTATAAATAACTTTTGAAACTTTAAGAGTAATATGCCTAACTTAGGTAGGCCAAATAGTTTAGGCCTACAGGCCTGTCATAGGCATCTACTGGTACAGCTAAGCTAACACAAGCTTTGATATTAGTATAGTTGATGGGTTTAAAGATGTTTGTGTGGCCTAACACTATCTTAGGCCTAGGCTATTAACTTTAGGAATATTATGCGATATTTTGGTTATTCAACAGGGTTAGCTTAGTTGACGGAGTTGACGTGTCATCTACTGGAAGCGAATTAGAAGAGTAGCGAATTAAAGGAATGAGAGTGAAAAATGTCTTTAACATCAACATAATCAATACTCTTTGACCTCAGTATCTATGCAAAACTGCAAAGAAAAATTATAAAACAGCTGCGTCTAGATTTTGGCTTTAGTTAAGCCTAATTTATTTTGAAACTTTAGTTCAAAAGACGTTGTTAAGAGTAAGGTTGTGATAAAAATCACTAGCTCAAGAAATATATAAGTACCGTAGCTAGGAAAGTAGCTAATATTCCGCTACAACTACTTAAAAAAAGTAGCTCGCTACTGCTCTAGCTACAAAATTTGAAAAGTAGCGTAGCTACAGCTAACGCTACAAAATAAATAGCGCGCTACTGTAGCGTCGCTACTTCCCAACACTGCTCAGGACTATAGGCTTATCATCGTATACTTAATATTCATTAATATCTGTCAAATTTGTATTTTATCTATTTAATTGGTCTATTCATATAGGTATTTTGAAAATAATCCTTCCATAAGATAGATAAATACCGGTACATAGGCCTAACTCTTCACTGAGCTAAGTGGGTTATATTGGGTATTTTCACCAGTGAAGTGGGAAAAATTAAGTTACCAAAGTGAATTAGAAACCATGTTTATTCAAGTTATTCACTATTTATGAAGTCAGTGCCGGATTTACCACTAGGCCGATTAGGCCGCGGCCTAGGGCCGCAGAGCAAAAGGGGGCCGCAGAGGATTGGGAAAAAACATTTGTTTAGATAAAATAAAATAAAAAAAAATTAATTAAACCACCAGTTACCACGATCACAGGTGACCATAATGATGTCTCCGTGGACTGAGAGAGATGTTCACGATTATGCCGCGGCCGCGGGTGACGGGGATGTGTCCTTAATGATCGCAGCCCGCAGGAGACGTTCACGATTTAGCCGCGGCCGCGGGTGACGGGGATGTGTCCTTATGATCGCAGCCCGAAGGAGACGTTCACGATTTAGCCGCGGCCGCGGGTGACAATGATGAAGTCGTCATGATCGCAGTCCACGGGAGAGGTTTTTAACACGACTTTGCCACGATCGCAAGTTTCGATGATGATGTCCCCGTGATTGCGGCCCGTGGGAGATATTCACGATTTTACTGCGGTCCCGGATAACTATGATGGCTTTGACTTGGCTTAGGAGAGATGTCCATGATTTCATCCAGGATCACGGGGGCCGATGATGATGTTCCCTTGATGTATAGGAGATAGTCACTATTACTTCCGCGATCGCAAGGAATTTTCACCACAGGGGGAGGGCCGCTCAAGTAATTTGGCCTAGGGCCGCAAGTACCCCAAATCCGGCACTGTATGAAGTACAAGTAATAAAGTGATGTTGAGATGCCTCAAGCATGTGTTGTTCCTGTTTGCAAATCAAATTATAGAAATAATGTAAAAGATGAAGGAGTTACTAGGGGTACACTTCCATATCTGTTGGCACTAATATCGAACGAGTACTTTTTATCGATATATCGAACAATCGACATATCGATAAAAAGTACTCATTCGATAGTTTAATTAGTTAGGTTAGGTTATATATCGATTAATCGATATATCGATAAAAAGTACTCGTTCGATATAAAAAGTACTCATTCGATATTAGTGCCAACAGATATGGAAGTGTACCCGTTACTAGTACATTTTCTTTCCCGAAGAATCCTGAATTGTGTAGGGCGTGGATTCGTGCAATTTCTAGAACAGATTGGGAACCCAATGCAAGCTCTGTGGTATGTATTAAACATTTTCATGATGATGATGTAAGTTTGACTGAAAAGTTCCAAGACATAAATGGGGAATGGCATGAAAGGCGTAAATCTCATCAACTCGATCCATTCCAACGGCAGGTTTTTACTATCTGAAATAAGAAGAAAAAATATTCATAGAGCATTAATTAATTAACAATTACAGTACTAGAAATTATCTATAAAGTATAAAAGAGGATGTTTGTATATATATTTGGCAGTGATAAACTCAGACACCACTGAACCGATTGCCACGAAACTTGGTACATACGTGTAGAATTTCATGGAATAGGTTTATACACCATCAATTTCGTGATCCGTCCAATCGGCTTCGCCCCAGTGGCTCTGGAGTTTCCCATGTTAACCTTATGAGAAATGGAATTAATGAATCTTAACAGCTGTTTCAATTAAACAAGTTGGTTCTGTTCTATAATGTTCAATAGCATTAAAGTTACAACACTATTATTTCTTTTACATTTATGTTACGTACTTCTGTCTGTTTTCAGTCTTGAAAATAGTCTGGGGATGACTAGTTTCAGGTCAAAGACCCATTATCAAATCCACATCAAATTGAAGAGTTTATAATCCGACGGAACGGAAGTCTTCATCAAAACGTACATATACACGAGTCGACACAAAGTTCAAATTTTCACACGGATATGAGTACCTAACTTACATTTAAAAAGCTATTTATATTTAGGCCGGCCACATTCCTTCACGCACAGGACAAACCGACACAGGAACTATGGATTTGTCCACAATATTTCTAAGACGGTTTTAGGGGAGGGGGAATTTAACCTAAAACTGCCTAATATTGTAATGAAATCCATAGTTCCTGTGTCTATTTGTTATTGTTTGTCGGACATGATGGAACTGTGGATAGTTCCATCGTGTCCGCCATACAAACTGTGTCGGTTTATCCAGTATGTGAACGAATGTGGCCGGCCAATAGCTTTTTAAATGTATATAAATGTGCTTGTATCTATGTGTAAATTTGAGCTTTATGTGTCGACTCGTATATATACATTTTGATGACGACCTCTGTCGCCCAGTTTGATGTGGATTTGATAATGGGTCTTTGACGCGAAGCTAGTCATCCCCAGACTAATTTTTTAAGACTGAAAATGCGGGATGAGGTACGTAAGTTTTATACGGTTTATAGACTTGTTCTTTCACTAAAAAATCCCAATAAAGACTTAATACTTTTGAAAATAAAATATTAAGAAGCGTTTTTTGGACCAATAAAAGATAAGTTTTGTGGAGAATAAAAAAATAGGGGGTTGAGGGAATTTCATAGAGAACTAGAGAACTAGATAGGTACCTATTGTGGTAGTGGCAAGTAGAAGGTTGAGATAGCTGAGCCACATTCAAAAGACAGGTGAGAGAGAGATAGTAAAGCATGTGATAAGAGGTACTATGGAGGATAGGAGAGCATTGGGAAAAAGTCCTAAGGAGAATGGGAGCAAACCTAGAGCTGGCAGAAGATGGAGGATCCTGGAGGCACATGGTTGGCGACGCCAAAGACCGCCTAGGGTTTAAATGGCCACAGGAGTGCGTAAGTAAGTAACGGTAGATAATATAACGGCTGTGATCTCGGGTGATATTCATGATGACATTATAATAAATTATAAATCCACACTAAGACAAAAATATTTCTACTGAAGCTAATGGTTACCCGTCTCAGGTAGGCTAATCTGTTAGATATTATATAAGTTAGGTAGGCTATATCATTTACTGTTATGTCTATTGAGCTATTATGAATGTTTAGTCTATGTTTAACATTAGACAACAATGTAGCAATGAGTTTAATAGATCACCACTAGTGATATGGGTAGATATTATTAACTAATTAATTAGGCCTAAATAAAACTTTTTTTAAATAAAAACTATTTTGAATTACACTTTTAATTAGCCTGCAAGCTGTAAATAATTAAAATGCAGTTGATTTTTTTTTATTCAAATTTTTAGTTTAATTGGTTAATAATAGTTACCCAGATCAAACAACTGATTTTTCCGTTCCCTTTAAACAATTGTAAAAAACAAGATTGCATCTTTATTACATTGAAATTCAAACAAGTTTATGCATTTCAACTCACTCTTTCATTTAGGCTGATACCAATAATTGGCAAAGCCATGTAGGTACGGATGTAATTTCATTAAACTTACCAACATTTGCATTTGTTTGGTTTAGCCTTGCTCGGTCCCCATATTTTTTTCTGAATGGAAAAATGTTGTAGCAATTAGTTCAACCACCATCCTCCTAGTTACTACTGTAGTTACATCTGCTGTAGATGTACTGTTGTAGAAATCTTTCACCCATGCTGTTCAGCAATCCACCTGGTAAAACATAAATGAGTTAGATATCTCTACTACATACATTGACATCCAGACACAAATTTTTTTTTTTTTTTAATTCAACTCTTTCATTTAGGGCTGATACCAATAATTGGCGAAGCCATTTAGGTTAAGATTTAATTATCCTACATTAAAACTTACCAAGAGATGCACTTGTTTGGTTTAGCCTTTCCAAAATCTGCCTTGCTCGGTCCCCCAATGAAAAAAAAACTTTGTGGCAAGCAGGTTAACCACCATCCTCCTAGTAGACATAGGCCTACAGCTGTTGGATGTCTTGCTCAGCAATTCAACCTGGTATACATATGAGTGAGTTACACTAAAATGGAGCCATGGTACTTTATTACTGGCACTTGGTTGCATTTGTTTAAACCCAAAGCGTATATGTAGCAGACAAGAGTTTTTCATTTAAGTTATGCGTAGGCTATACAGAAATTATAAGCTTATATTTACAGTACTTAATATTTTATTTTTATTATTTTTTGTAAGAGGTTGGCGGCCTCTTTTATCCAAAAAGACTACAGATCTGGCTGTGGAACGTATCTAGCAAAGCAAGGGGTGAACCGGTACAGTACGAAGGTGAACTGTACTGATAAATTTTAGTGGCAGTAACCAGGATCCGGACCCACGGCATCGCTGCCTTAGGCCCGAAGTCCGGACGCTACCAACTGAGCCACCGACTCACCAAAGACTGTTGATACTGAACAATGAAAAATTATTGTAGTTGTAAATTTGAAGTGACCTTAAGTTAAATAACGGAAATGTAGCATAAAAGATGGACAGAGTGCAAATCTGTATACTTAAAAAATATCTTTAAGAAATCGACATAAACCGACAATAAGTTATCATACTAAGTAGTTACATAGACTATAACTTACTAAAATATTTGCTAACTTATAACCTACCTAGAGTCGAAGAAATACAATATTTAGACTTCACAAGTGAGTATTGTGAGTCTACTTGTTTAGTCTTGCAAATAGCCATTTTAGTTTTATGTAAGTTATTTAAGTCAGTCACTAACCAATAGCCTGCATGCCTGTTAACTTAATTCCCTAAGCATTAAATGATCATGGTAGACTAAATAGGTTATCAGTTAGATGTCCACAGTGAAGCCTAGCCTAGGCACTCTCTGATACTACCTTGTCTAGACAAAAATTTAGAGAAACTAACTATAACTATGTAATGCTTCTATAGGCTATGTCTTGTCTAACCCACGAATACAGTACTAACTTAACTTAGAACAGGAACAGGCCAATGATAGGCTTTAAACGAACAGACACGGTATGGATCAGAAATTTAATGTCTATGTTAATGCTGTAAAGTTAAGACAATAGGTCAGTAGCACGAATACTTTCGTGAGGGTCGTTTTGTTGTTCAATTATTACTTTAAAAAATGCATTTAAATTTATCTGCGTTCAACTTTATGAAGGGATTAATTGACGCAATTTATGTCTGTTACTTTCAGATCTATGTTGGATATATTTATAAAGACAATGCCTAGACCAAACTACAAAATAGGCTTACTTAATAAGTTAATAAATACATGGGCAATTAGACAATAAGATTAGAACTGAAATCTTAGCTGGTTCTTTAATCGGTAGGCTAGTTTTTAGTTTTTGTACCAAAATCAAACTTACGTATTGTTGCTGATACAACTCGATTCTTCAAATGATTTAGAGAAATAATAATTAACTTAGCATATTTCGTGAAAATAATGTACTGTACAAGTTGAACAACAACAGACTACTTGATTATACAACTGTACTTAACTTACTTGTCTGGTCTTCATTCTGCAAGTAGCAAGTGCAAAGTGTGTAAAAATATTAAAAGTGCGTGTCGGCGTCGGCTGTCGGCGTCGGCTGCTTCCAATCCAAACAAAATGTAAACAACACAGTCACGTGACACAGCACCACTTGCGACGTTGCCAGTTCGATGGCCGCGGCCTGTAGTTAAAGGCGGCCGTGGCCTAGGCCTAATTCGTGTCCAATTGCAATTCCCAACTGAACTGCAACTGACTAGACCGAACCAAACCGACCTAGACCGGGACCGACTACCGAGTACTGACTGTGACTGGGACTGAGACAATTGAGGCATGATTGAGAAAGAGAATTGAGATTAAGACAAACCCGATAATGATGTTAGTTATTTAGGCCGGGGCCACACTTGTAACTTTTAACCAGCGAAACAGTTTTTTCCGTTTTCACGTGCGACGCACGTAAAACAGTTTTACCGTGGCCACACTCGTCTTACGAGATAGATTTTTCGGGCAAACCAGTGAGACTGATAGAGCATGCCACACTGGCAACAAAAATCGTCCGTGTCAGTGTTCCGACTCCCCCCCCTCCACGTACTAAATCAGTCAGGTTTAAACTAGAAACGTCCGTGGAAAAAATTCAGCGAGATAAGATGAGTGTGTTCACTCCCATATGCCACAATGCCCCGCGACTAGTTTTACGTGCAACGCCCGTGGAATGTTAGTAGAGAATACACGTGCAATTCCGTTTGTCAGTCTCGCTGCCAGCATATAATAATCATCTTATAATTAATTTTAATTATAAGATTAATTTTTTATTATAAAATTAATTTTAAAATTTGTTATAAAATTAAACTGCCATAACCTAACCAAACCAACTAAACTTGCTGATAATATAAAAAATATATAAGTTAAAGTATAAATCTAATGAAGGTTTACTTATTTAAAAAAAATAGCTCTGTTCATAAATAAAATTATAAATGCCTCAAATTCTAACAAAAGATTCGCAATCTAAGCAAAGCCTTGGACAAAAAGTTAGTGTCGCAGGTGGGATTCGAACTGGGGACCTCCAGATAACGAGTCCGAGACGCTATCAACTACGTCACGAACACCGATGGAATCATATCGTCTCGTTACGGTAATGGTGTTCCCTAAAGAGCAGAGTGACGTCACGCCCCCCCCCCCTCACTCCTTCTCTAAAGAGGTTCTCTCCCATCAGTTCCTGACAGGGGAAACCAAGACGCTATACATTAGTCAGCCTCAGCAGCCACAGCCATTGGTGTTCGGGTTTGTGGTGTAGTGGATAGAGTACTAGACTGTTGTTCTAGAGGTGACCAGATCGAATACCTCCGGTGACTCTAACTTTTTGTCTAAGATTTTGCTTAGAATGCGATTACTTACTGTATTACCCCAAGGAACTCAGAACTTCTTTTTAAAAACATTCCAAGAACAAAATAATAAAGAAAGCTAAGCTAGGTCTAATCAAACAAGTGATTTATCAGTGGCCAGTTTTTTTTTCGTTTGCAATAAGTGATCAGTCAGGTTGTAGACGATTGTCCCACGAACAAACTTGAGAAAGCTCAGATGACTTACGTAATAGTGACGTCAGCTCTGGTCAGGGGTAAAATTCCAGGATGTAAGGTACCAACTTTTAAGGGTTGCATGGGCCGAGCGCCGGGTTGGGCGAGCGCCACGCGGACTACCTGACTATGTTGTGACAGTGAACCGGATAAATCAAGTGTACACTTAAACTTGTCAAAGACATAAGACGTTTATTTGTGATTTTTACATGCATGGACAAGTCAAAGTTGTTTTCATACAATTGTATGCGTCACATATTCAATCTAGCCTTTGGTTATACAACTGTGTAAACGCATGGCCAACACTTTCATTTAGGCTAAAGTAGACAAGTTGCATCTTCATCTATGTTACAGTATTTCTTTTTTTACATTCATAACACTTTTGTAAACGTAAATATTTAAAATCTAATTATGGCCACCCTCTAATCGGACACGTTAATTTATTGAGATCAGAAGTGTCTATTCACTATATAAAGTTTAGATAGTATAGAAATGTGACACTATTCTGGTTCTATTGATTCTTGTGATATGGCAACCTCTCTCAAGGATGTTAAATTTTGTCCATGCTTCGTTCACAAATTCAGGCTGTATAAAAGTCCTTGGAGCCTAGACCTTCTAATTCGGTAAACAATTAAAAAAACTACAAAGAAAATTTGAATCTCACGGTGTAATAGATAGTTAAATTATAATCACTCTGGTGTTTTAAAAATAATTTGAGATGGTAAATAACTCTTCAGAAATTAACATTACTCTTATAGCAGGCAAATCCGGCCGTAAGCTTAAATGGATTCCCTTGGAAAACAATTCAAAACTATAAAAGAACATTTATAATATCACAGTTCACTATATATTTAAATTGCAATCACTTTGGTGTTTATTTTTGAACGATAAACAACTCTTCAGTAGCTGTTTAAAATTATCCAAGATGGCCGCTAGCCTCCAAGGACTCATATGAGAAACGACTCCCACTCCATCCACTCAACCTCGTCCTGATTTTGAAACGTCTGACAGCTGAAAGTGGGGAGAATCCTTCAAAGAACAGAATATACAGCATTAATGGCCCAAAAACACATTTTGCCAACCGTCGTCGTCGTCGTCGTCGTCGTCGTCGTCGTCGTCGTCTACATTTTTACATTTTACATATTTACATGTTACATTTTAACATTTTTTATGATCAAGTCTTTCCCTTGCAACTGACCTGGTAGCCTCGTCTAGTATGAGGATGGATGGGATTTTCAGTAGAGCGCGGGCGATAGCTATCCTCTGTTTCTGGCCCCCAGACACGGTAACTCCTCTCTCCCCCAGAATGGTACTGTAGCCATCAGGGAACTGTCGGATAAAACTGTCAGCATTGGCCAGCCCAGCAGCCTCGTACACCTGTGACAAAGATTAATTAAATTAGTAATACCAAACTAGTGACAGGTAATACAAACAAAGTAACATAGAATCAAACCAGCTACCTTCTAATTACAAGGCGAGTACAGCAGTACTATAATCACTCAACCACCAAGCTGACATAAAAACTTTTACTCATACCAGTACTCATAACGTTTTTAATGTGTTACATTTTAACAAGTTACCTTTAAGCATGTTACATTTTAAAAGGTTACAATTTTACATGTTACATTTTTACATGTTACATTTTAATATGTTACATTTTAACACGTTACATTTAAGCATGTTACATTTTAAAATGTTACATTTTAACTCGTTACATTTTAACATGTTACATTTTAACTTCTTATATTTCCACATGTTACATTTTTACATGTTACATTTTAACATGTTTTACGATCAAGTCATTCCCTTGCAACTGACCTGGTAGCCTCGTCTAGTATGAGGATGGATGGGATTTTCAGTAGAGCGCTAAGAGCGCTTGTAGCGGCGATAGCTATCCTCTGTTTCTGGCCCCCAGACACGGTAACTCCTCTCTCCCCCAGAATGGTACTGTAGCCATCAGGGAACTGTCGGATAAAACTGTCAGCATTGGCCAGCCCAGCAGCCTCGTACACCTGTGACAAAGATTAATTAAATTAGTAATACCAAACTAGTGACAGGTAATACAAACAAAGTAACATAGAATCAAACCAGCTACCTTCTAATTACAAGGCGAGTACAGCAGTACTATAATCACTCAACCACCAAGCTGACATAAAAACTTTTACTCATACCAGTACTCATAACGTTTTTAATGTGTTACATTTTAACAAGTTACCTTTAAGCATGTTACATTTTAAAAGGTTACAATTTTACATGTTACATTTTTACATGTTACATTTTAATATGTTACATTTTAACACGTTACATTTAAGCATGTTACATTTTAAAATGTTACATTTTAACTCGTTACATTTTAACATGTTACATTTTAACTTCTTATATTTCCACATGTTACATTTTTACATGTTACATTTTAACATGTTTTACGATCAAGTCATTCCCTTGCAACTGACCTGGTAGCCTCGTCTAGTATGAGGATGGATGGGATTTTCAGTAGAGCGCTAAGAGCGCTTGTAGCGGCGATAGCTATCCTCTGTTTCTGGCCCCCAGACACGGTAACTCCTCTCTCCCCCAGAATGGTACTGTAGCCATCAGGGAACTGTCGGATAAAACTGTCAGCATTGGCCAGCCCAGCAGCCTCGTACACCTGTGACAAAGATTAATTAAATTAGTAATACCAAACTAGTGACAGGTAATACAAACAAAGTAACATAGAATCAAACCAGCTACCTTCTAATTACAAGGCGAGTACAGCAGTACTATAATCACTCAACCACCAAGCTGACATAAAAACTTTTACTCATACCAGTACTCATAACGTTTTTAATGTGTTACATTTTAACAAGTTACCTTTAAGCATGTTACATTTTAAAAGGTTACAATTTTACATGTTACATTTTTACATGTTACATTTTAATATGTTACATTTTAACACGTTACATTTAAGCATGTTACATTTTAAAATGTTACATTTTAACACGTTACATTTTAACATGTTACATTTTTACTTCTTATATTTCCACATGTTACATTTTTACATGTTACATTTTAACATGTTTTACGATCAAGTCATTCCCTTGCAACTGACCTGGTAGCCTCGTCTAGTATGAGGATGGATGGGATTTTCAGTAGAGCGCGGGCGATAGCTATCCTCTGTTTCTGGCCCCCAGACACGGTAACTCCTCTCTCCCCCAGAATGGTACTGTAGCCATCAGGGAACTGTCGGATAAAACTGTCAGCATTGGCCAGCCCAGCAGCCTCGTACACCTGTGACAAAGATTAATTAAATTAGTAATACCAAACTAGTGACAGGTAATACAAACAAAGTAACATAGAATCAAACCAGCTACCTTCTGATTACAAGGCGAGTACAGCAGTACTATAATCACTCAACCACCAAGCTGACATAAAAACCGTCGTCGTCGTCGTCGTCG